TACGGTTTTGTCCAACGGTTACCCAACAATTTATGGTTCAAACCAATGGGAAGCCACTTTTTATTTCTCTTATTTGTAATCAAATAAAGTCTGCCAGGCAGCCGCACGTCCCTTGAAACCAACGGTCTTCTGTGAAAAGTACATGAAATCTGTGCTACCCAGCAAGAGATCACTATCTGATAATTCCTCCATCACGGTGTATTTTTGGTTCACATAGAGAAACCCTATGCCTTATGGACGATGCGATCTCTCGAATATAATTCAGAATATAGCAATCAGCTGCGTAATATCGGTTGCCAGCTTATACGCGACTTCGAGAAGCGTTAGTTAGGACCTGTCATCTGTACAATGGTGCACTTAATAGCAAGAGAATGCCTGTCAATCACGACGCTTGCCTTATCACTGTCCATTCATGTTGCACCATCAATCAGCTGATGAAAACAAACTGACGAAGAAAGCGACGGTTCCGTCAGGCTAATAAGTGCCGGGCGTTGCTTCTTTTTAACAAGTTTGGGTCCAGAAAGTTGGCTGCGAATAAAATCCGTTCTCTAATTTCCGTAAGTATTGTAGTGCTTTTCGTCCACCCAAATGTCGAGAATGAGCCCTATTGGCGAACTCTTGTGTATCACGTATTGTGTATGTATCAGAAAGAGCAGCCATTTTTGCATCGACCAGAACAGCTTCTTCATTTATTTTTCAACGCTAAACGAGTTACTCACGATGCGGAGTTTGATTCCAGTTTAAAGACACAAATTGCTAGGATGTATCACCGGAGAGGTTTCTAAATTCAGCCATCAAAACGTTAGTTGTTTACGTATGTGGACAAAAGTATTTCTCCAAAAAACTGTACCACTGGTTAGAAAATTGAGCGTTCACACCTTCCTAGAAATAGTCAGTCAGAACAAATTGAAACAGTGGAGATAAACGGTACGGAACATGATATGGTCGGTGTAATAAGGCACGAAAATGTTCAGTACACATCCAAAGCGCAATGACGAAATTGTTGTGGCTGGGAGGTTTTCAGGTCCCGACGGCATTCTTTCGGAATATCCTGGCTTCTCCCGAACTCTGCGTGAATTCGTTCCTGGCGTTGTCACTTCTTACGTTTATTGGTGCCCACTTAACCTACCTATTACTTTGAATTATGACATTGACAGCAATGATGTGCAATTTATTATTTAACCTTGCTTTTCCTTGAGGCTTCTCAGCGAAAGATAATCCCTGACAACCACTAGAACAAAACTAATTCCCCACTGGAACGAATAGACAAATTGTTTCTTTTTTGAGTAGGACCAAGGATATTACCACTGAGCATTGCCAACTAAATAAACGTTTATGTGGTTTAGTTCAATTCGATTCGTTAACTTTGGAGTAGTTGAGTAATGGAACAGCAAATGTCTAACTCGGCTGTCGAGTAAACAACAATGAAACTTAACCCAATTCAGACCGTCTCTATTTGAGGTTAGCTAGTAGACATAGCAGTATTTGCTTCCGCTACGGAAAGCCAGTCCCAGTGAAATGGAATGTCATGCGTTCACCAGACAGAAGCTAAATGACATTTTACCTAAGGACAGTTTTCTTTTGATTTTATTCGAGGTTTTAAATAATTGTGAGCAAATATTTAGTACAGATTTCTGAAAATTTGCAAACGCGTGTTGTTTCTATTTTTTGCACGTGAAGCCGGATTAATTCGTTGGAATGATGAGTTGATGGGAACTGCTTTGAATTCATTTACCGTGAAGCAGAACTCCACTCTGACTCTAAAGTTTTTAGCCATCCTGGATATAAAACACCAACCTCACAACAAGACATCTTTTAAGATGCCATATTAAGATATCATTTATGACCAACCTTCATTTTTTTGGACTTTGTGAAGTTTTTTGTTTGGCACATCCTATCTATCGAGAATTTTCAGTCCGCATACGGTGAGCTTAATCAAGGGCAGTAATAATTCAAAATGGGATAGCACCGACTCACACAGCCTTCAACTGAAGATTTCTTACAGACTGCGAGCAGTTTTGACAGCATACTTCAGCAGATACGTTCATATGCGAATCTCGCGAAACGGCCCTGGTTTGATCATCACCGAAAATCTGATGGCCATTCCGTTTATACTGATACATAAAAACAAATACATTTGTTTTGTGTTTCCGAAAATTCGGAAAACTCTCTACTCTGCATTGCCCCTTATCAAGCCGATTTCGCCCAGCACACCTATATCTTGTAACGCTGTAGATTTTGAGTTCCATCCTCAAAATCTTCGCTTAAGGGATGCATTGAATTACTGACCAAATAAATTTAACGAGAATTGTGCCCTCCAGCAAGACGTTAATTGAGAGACGGCGTTGGCTGCCTGTCATTTAGTGCAAGGACAAAGAGGGGTTCACGAAAACGATTTCCGCAAGTTCTATTCCAATTTTCAAATGTTAAGGGAGCAGTTTTTAACATAGAATGAGCATGGTGTACGTGAACAAGATGTCGAGTAAAACGACATTGGCTACCTGTGAAGGAACGACCGGTTCAAGTCACCAAAAGGATGACCTGAGTTTGTCAGTGTACGTAGTGTTGCTGCACAGGTTGTATGTGTGGGCGGACCATGTGAGTTGGACCATGGCAAATATAACCAACAAAGGATAGGGTCGCGATATTGTATAGCGATAGCTCCAGATAATGAGATTTAAGCAGTCGTTACCAGTCGTCACTCTACGACGAGTGTTTTGTCTTTTTCGTTGGTTATCCGGTTGAACGTGGTTGTCAGCCAGACTGTTCGTCAATTTGCGTATAATATATCTCATTTATCGCCTAAAGACAAACAATTTGATATCCGGGACATCTCATAGGAAAGTCGAAACCACAGGATCAACAACCGTTACCTTAGATGGCCTGCTCAAACTCCATGAACCCAAATGTCCACTGAGGCCGATCCTAGAGATACACACTTCGCCCTATCACCAAACCGCACAGTGGCTTGTAAAAATGCAGGAGCGAACACTCTAATAAATGTATCAGTGCGGTCGACTTGTGAACTCACTGAAGGATCTTGAACTGAAAGTTTTGTTGACGTGTACATTATATGTGACTTTAGTCTCTCTATGTAACCACATCATGAAGCAAACAAATTTCGCTTAGCGATTCCCGTCAACAAAATTGCGAGAGCTCCTCCCGCGATGCACACTGAGTGTGCAACTATGGTACAATGGCACCCCCTACTGTCAAATTGATGGCATGGATGTGATCTTACAACTGGGTCTAATTTTAGTCGAGCAAACTTGAAGGTGGTCACTTAAATACCAGTACTGAGAAAACACAATTCTACTACCGATAAGTGGACGACATTTTCGCAGTTTCCAACAATAAAAACGAGAAAGAAATGCTTCAACAAGAATTCAGTAAGTCTCACACAAACATCCAATTCATCTTGGAAGGAGGAACAGATACCGTCTTCCACTCCCTAGATTTTGACCTTGTACGACGTGACGATAGCACACTAAAATGATTCGTGTACCAGAAACCTTCATTTTCCGGGCGGCACATTAACTTTGACACCTGGGTGCCACTGAAGCAGAAGCGATCTCTGATCCGCAGCACAGCTAACAGAGCAAAGTAAATATGCTCTGATGGAACAGAAGCAAGTAATCCCAACTCTCACGAACGTTCTCAGAGACAAAGGGTTCTTCGATAATTTTATAAGCCATTTGAACAAGGGAGTAACCAACACTGTCACCGTCACATTTGAGGGCAAAATCGTTTACATCAGCATCCCGTTTAAGAGAGATGTACCGACTGACCGACTAAACAGAAGACTTTATGCTTGTCTAAACAAAGTCTTCCCGGTCGAAACACTCCAAAAGTGGTTCACAATCAATTGTCTTTCTTCCTTTAGGCAAGGATAGGGTACATATCCACGCCAAAATAGGTTAGTATACTCATTCTCTCGCTGCTATGCAGCGGAATGCATTAGACGTACGACTAGGTTACTCGGCAAGTGAATCAAGGGACATAACCCACTCTGGATAGCTTTTGGAACCAGGAGGACGATAACCAATTCAGGCGTACACTATCTAATAGACACGGCGCACAATGTCATACCCAGCCAAAGATTCAGTATTGTCTACAGGGTACATACTAATCAACCCAGGTCGGTACAGCAACGCACAATCACAATGACTGTAGCTATTGCCATATTACCGATCCTTTGTTGTCAAAAACATTTTGTTCACGTATTGTGAATCGGGGAACCCAAACTCAGCATTCTAGTTTCTTTGTACCTACTTGTTGACATCGCGTTCAACTACGTGGTTCTGTCGTCCGTGCTTTTGGTGTCCCTGCTCTTTCTACATATATACATATATAAGGTGTCTTTTGCCTTCTACTACAGGTCAACAATTCTCTTGAAAGACATTGCGGACGCACGCAGGAAATGGTGCACAAATGTTGTTGTCCCCTCAGATTGTGAGGAGACTTTTACCTGTTAGCTGTCAGGATGGGAGAACAAATCAATGGTCATCCTATCAATAAGCACATTTGAGCAAGCTATATCCCAACATGTCACACGGTGATCATATACTTCAGCAACACACTACTTGAACGCGATTTTGGAATCAGCGGAACGCAAAAGATCTGGGGATGAATAATTCACATATTTTTTTCTACTTCAGGTAGACATTATCACATTGCCATCCGCTACTGGCCTAATCAGGTGCTAACGAACCACTTAGGACTTAGTTTTGCATCTACACATTTTGCCTTACCCAATCCGTCTCGGTAAAGAAAACTGTGAAAACAGCGGTCATCCTCATAATTTTACTAATTTCTAGGAATTTGTTTAGAAACTGACCGAAAGCTCAGACAAACCAGCTCTTTAAACACAGTCAATCGAATGTGCCCAGTGCGTTTCATGCATCTGTGACGCCACCTGACTGGGAATTCCTAACTGGCGGGTCAATAGATCGTGACAACCAGGACAGTTAATGGGTCGTCGTTCGATGAGTCGTGCACACCAATAACATCGCTCGCCCTTGCAGACGTGCGTCCAACGTGCATTGGTGGAGCGGTGGTAGCGCGATCGCCTCGACGGGCCACACCAAAGTACTTGAACGTGTGCTAGTGGTGTCAACTGTCGACATTTCAAACATAATCAAGAAATTCAAAGTATGTAAACTGCGACGGAATCCTGCTAACTCGCCAGATGGATAGAGTTCAGGTATGAACAATAGTGTCACTGTCTATAATAGGATATAGAAAAACAAGATAAAGGAATTTATACCCAACGTGGAGAGGGAGAAGTATGATGCACTGAGAATGCATTGGTTAAATTTGTAACGTGCATGCATTTGCAAACAAATTAGGTTTTGACGGCTGACTCAACTAAATTCCAAATAAAACTCCTGGTACTGATATACTTCAATAGCACGCACCACACAAAGACCGCCTCATGTTGTGTTCGGTACGATATTCGAATGAAGCTCGTTCACTTGAAGAGTGCCAGATAATAGAAATCGAGTTAGGATTTATTTGATTTTCCCCCTGAAAATCATATCATTCTAGAAACTTATCAGTTTGGGGGGACCTCACCTAACTGATAAGTATCAGAAAAGGCGAAGAGGGTCGTAATTTGTCAAAGATGGCTCAGTAATCATATCAGTAGTGCGTTTTGTCTTCAGTGTAAAACCATGACAACTATTCTTAATTTCTAAGTTCGCTTCCTAAGCTAGAGGGCCATGTATTCGCTAAAGATTTTGCACATTTATTTTCGTTTGGACAACAAGAATGATGTTTGGGATCGAACGGGTCAGGCTCATTAATTATGTATTCTTTGCTAATTTCCGCAGCGGTAGTTGACAGTTGGCACAACACATAGCGGCGAGTGCAGTCCATTGGAAAAGCCAGTCGCCTAGGTATCTCAACAAAAGTTTGTAAGTTCAGGCTTTGTTTGTTTTTGTCCAATCAGTTTATTCCTTAATGACACCCCAGTAAATCATCGGATACTCGAGGTCTAGTCAGTAATGAATAACGTCATTCAGTCATCAAGAGCAACAAAAGGTACTTTTCGTGGGACTGTGTGTCTACTCAAAGGGAAGTAGAAAAAGATGTCAAATACACACGTCTCGTTCGGCTGATGCATTGAAAACTAAAATCTGAGTGAAAATCAACACAATAGTTCTGACCTTTTGTAGATTGAAATTGCCAGATGGAGGGACTGATGGATGGAGCTGGTCAGAATTTTTGATAATTTTTGTGATAATAAAATGAGCAATATTCAGAGGTTTTTTTCAATACTAATGCCACCTCCACAAGCCCAGTAGCTTTTGATGTTTTCGGCGGAAAAATGTTTGTTGTAATTACAGGTTTTTTTTACATATATCTCCCCAGAACACGAATTGTTCCACCGCTCCTAAACGGCAGAAAGCGTAGAATGTTGTAAGGCATGAAGAGAATTGTAACAATTAAGCTGAATATCAAAGCGTAGTGGAATTACTCTCAAAAGGTGCAGAATTCACTGTGATTGAGATAAATCGAAACATGAAACTTTTTTTTCTGAATGAGCCACACGATATCCGCATCAGGCAAGAAGTACCACCAAAAAGTGTATACAGAGAAATCAAGATTTTGTCCCCAGAAATCAAAAATCGTGTTTTAATAAAACCAGTTACGAATAAATAAACGATTAGGCTAAATAAAACGGCATGTCCTGTGAGCAGTCCATTACCTACACAAGTGTAAGAACAAACTTTGAGTCTACATTTTCCTATAGTTTTCCGAGAAAAATGATTTAGCTCAAGGGCTGCAAAGGTTGATTACTGTAATTTCCATCAGTGAAACCGAAGTAGAGTTGCCAGCGCGCTGGAATTTGTTACTATCAATAGACCAATAGGCAGCGCTGTCCATAAAGCGAGAGATTTAATAGGACAAATTTGAAGTGGGTGGTCCTGGACGATTTCCGCAAATTTGTGATTATCACCTAAACATTATCAGATTCTCACTGAGTGCGTGAGAGTGAATAATTATGGGGTTGTCGACAACTTGTCTGGTAAATGAAGACGTCGCCGCTACACGAAACCTCATTTCAGGTGTTGGTAATTGCGAAATTGTTTGGAACGCATACTCACATGACTCTCTTTTGGACAGTCGTTCTTTTGTCCTCGCGCAATCGTCCTGGTAAGTTCACAGCAAAAATGAGGAAGCACGAGAGGTTTTATCCACAAACACGAAGACGATAAGCCGAAAAGGCAGGGGATCTATGTTGCCACTCACATCCAATGCGTCTTGGTGAAACCACACCTTTTGAAAAATTGGGTTTTGTCGGTCGAAGAAGTGTCGCACCTGCACCGAAGGCAGGTGTATTCGAAAAACTATTTTCAGGTTGAAATGGATCTTGTACACAATAAAGCGCAACGACTGCACAGGGCTTGCTATAGGGACAGACAGAAGAAGAAGAAGAACCGAAATGTGAACGAAAATTCAGCGATCATGAACACGATAAGTCATCAATTAAGCACAGAGCAACTATTACAGTATGGTCTCCTTGCTCAGGATGAATACAGCTCAAATGCAGAAAGCTGTTCGCAAAAGCTGTCTGAAAAAAAACAATGGATCTCAATTGGGTTATCAGCATATATTTTCCGGACTTCTTGAAATAAATAATGAACACAAGCTCGGGACTGGTCATTCAGCCATAACGAGAAATTCTTCGGGCGAATTATTAGTAAATTTGAAGAGGTCAGTTCGAATCCTTTTTTCTCCTTTATTCAAAGTAAATCTTCGTCTCAAGTACGACAATATTTTTCGAAATTAAACCCGTGAAATACTGAAATTTGAAGAGGTCAGTTCGAATCCTTTTTCTCCTTTATTCAACGTAAACCTTCGTCTCTAGTAGGACAATATTTTTCGGAATTAAACCCGTGAAATACTGCCAAATATTATATGCTTAGTTTGAACTTCCGAACTTATCACAAAAGAACGGAATGTGTCGGCTAGTGCGAGAGACATTAAGCAGCGACGTTTAGTCAACTTTGGAGCAGATAAAGCATACCTTATTACATAGACAGCTCGTTGCACCCGATGATTGACAGTTATAAAGCTGGCAATTGGTGAAACCACTGTTAAAGTTCAAAACAAGCTGTACATCTCCGTATTTCAGGGGTCGTTTTCGAGCAGTCAATTAGATTAATGATTGTTTTGTTGCTTCATTTTTCTAAAACAACTACTCCGTGTTCTCTAGTGCATATGTTGCTCAGTTAAATAAAAATCTCGATGGCGGGATATGAAAAATTCGAATATAACAAGTAATAACCCACGAAATATGTAAATTTGTGAACTAAACTTCTATTTTTATCATCCAGCGAAAGATATTTTGATAGGGTAAAAAGAGGTCTCCTTCGAAACGTTGCAAATAAATATAGAAAATGGATGAAGTGACGCTTCCTGGAAAGTCTTTACAACCATACCCGGTTAAAATTCATCAGTCCTTTTGCTGAAAACTTCAAGGGATCGTGCGTGCTATACTACATCGCAGTGCGTATGATATTAGCATTGACGAGAATTTCGAATTCACCCAACAGGGAGTACAGTCCTTAAATCTACGGGAAACTGGCGTAGCGCTCACTAATCATGTCCAACGAGTTAGAGTTCCTCCACTCAAGAGCAACAATCCGCCGTTGTTTATACGCCCCAGAGTGGTTTTTCCAATTAATCAATAGTGCAGAGACAGAATGACCCACGCGGAAATATAAATTACTCTACCATTGTTCTCATGCACTTCGGTAACAAATGTTTCGGTCACATTTTTAATCAACTTCACAACCGAGTTTTGCCACCACTAGTGGACAAAGCTACTTACTTATCAGTCAACTGGTTTCAAGGGAGTTAAGTTGAATGATACGGCCAATTTTGACCGAGCAGACTTCGTAGGCAGCCTGATCACTGGTTTCTACTTACGGAATAAACATAAGTCTACATTCTTCAGTCGCTTTTCCTTATTGCCTACGTATTGCACTCTTCCAAAACGTATTTTGTTCATTCTAATCTAACCTCCTTGTTACATTCAGGCGTGTCGAACGATAACTCAGTTCTCTTGTGTGTACATGTTTCTGGGCGACCGAGGTGTCCTGAGACACATGAATAGATCAGTAGTTGTTGCGCTTGCAACGAGCAGCCCATAACCCCAGCCTGGTAGAAACATTCCATTGACCGAGTGTTAAGTAGAGCGGAGGAAGGAAGGTTCAAAGAAAACCCTATTAACCAGTGGTAATTAAGGGTCCGTCATTGTGGTTCATTAAAAACATGATAAAATAGGTACTTTCAGCCAACAAGAAGCAAGTGTAATTGTTTCTCCAATTCACGAAGGATCACAAGTGAAACTGGTCCTTCCGAGACATTATATTGACGGGATAAATGAATATCTAGTGAGGCGCGCATCAGAACGAAGAGCATAAAATGGATCAGAGCGAATCGCAACACATGTTTTCTATCAGTTTCACCGAAAACGCGGCAAAAACGGATCCATGAATAGTCGAGTTGTGCCCTGGAAAGGATCAACAGCTCCAATCTGGCTGACGCGCCCATATCTGCAGACTATATCCGATTCACGCAAATCACTTGCGGGATAGAGGCAAGCACATCATTCTAAACATAAGCTAAAAGAACGCAGTGTGCCACAATACTGTAGGAGGTTAATCTTAGTAACTCACTTGACTAGATTGCACGAGGTTCCCAGCAAGAAACTCGAATAATTCTCCAGTAGACGGAAGATCTCGAAGACATATTTTCCGCTTGTGATATTTTTTGACAAAAATATTGATATGAAGTGGTATCCAGCTAGAAACTCTGGGTTCACAAAGTGTCCCTGTGTATACATACAGTGCATTTCTTCCCAAATCGGGCAAATGGTTAGCCGTTTATTGAGTTGTGCTGGTCAGACACTTCTGAAGACGCTTGAAGCAGGATAGCGCGGCATAGAAATGAAGACCACAAAAATGAAAATTCCGTTCAATCCTCCTGAACATTCGCAGACCTTACATTTCAAATCAGTCGAGATGTCTGAGATGGAATGGTCTTGCTCGGGGGAAGAGGGTGGGGCATTAATTTAGCACATTCATTCGAAGCTACCAAATGCCGTCCAGTTGGATTGGCACATCCAGTTAAATTTTGTTGGCCGCAATAGTAAGCACCAATTCCAATGAACAGTCTCCATATTCTGGTAAATATTTTGATATAAAATGGGCTGGAAATGAGGTAATTCTCGTTCCAATGCGCTTTTGGGTATGACTGGATAAGATGTACAAATCGCCATGTGAGCGGGACTGACTATATTCACACAAACACTGAAAATTCCCGGACGTCAAAACTGAACCCCAGTCACGCGCTGAAGCTGATCTAGCATTATTTGAGGCATCACACTGAGCTTTTGCTATATGAGCTTCGCCATCAACTAGTTAGACAGCGCACACTGAACTTGTTTTGAACTTTATATTACCAGACCGGCATTCAGCTCACGTGCTTTCTTTATATTTGCATATATATATATATATATTGTAGTTATTTATTCCAGTTAGCTGGTTTGTCTACCTTTTTCACAGTGTCTAATCCAGACAGCAAGTACGTTTGTCCGGATAATTCAGTCGAAACGTTGTGCGTTTTCATCGCACGTTTCTGATGAAACGCGGCCGTGCAACATGTGTCGCACAAAGTTTTTAGGAGAAAAAGCCGTATGTTTAGTACATGGACACAGTTTATTCACCTGGCTTTACCATGGGTGGCGTGACGGTGAGCATTAGCGGATGAAGTATCCCAAAACCGAGTTATTAGCGCTGAAGGCTTTGTTTCTCTGGGGTGAGTAGTTTCGTATATACTGCAAAAGTCATCGCAATCGTAGATAGGTTTTGACAATTTGCTCTCTAAAATGTGTTTGTCAAGGTGGATTCGGTTAAATGCTGTACAGTTTAACGAAGTGCACCCATTGGCAAACAAATTTGGTTTTATGAGAGACTCACCTAAATACGGCTGAATCTCTCGTTTGTGATGATTCCAAGAATAACGAAACCGGTCGTGGGCTATCGGCGATTTTTCAGCAACTTTATGAGTAGTTCATTACGTACATGCTGTACAGTTTATTTATTAAACCTTCATCTTCATACTATTATCCTGAAGGTGCTTAGAATACATCCTTAGTGATAAGTCAGCTTGATCGCGGTTTCGTGGAAGTGTAATTGGATCCACAAAGACTGGCCAACACAGTGTGAATTTCGTCAACGCCAGAACTATTATTGTAAGAACTGACATGTGAGTGATGAGGGGTACCTCATTGACTTACAATTTCTGAGAGCCAAATAATTGGTTGTCTCAACCACTGAATGTGCTTTTGAATTCATAGTAACTAGGTGACATCTCTGATGAAATACTCAGTTACCTGCATGCACCGTTTGACTGGACTGAAGAGTGTCAGTGTACCAAAGAATAAAACCACATTTTCGAAGTTCATAGCTAACTAAAATGTGAAAAAAACAGAAATACTGACAGGTGATCTGAGCCAAAGCCCGCTACACATAACAATATGGTTACCTCGAATATATAGTTGACCAAATTGCAACAAAAAGACCTATTCCACTCAGCCTGCAGCCAAAATAGGTGACAGCAATCTACGTAATCAAAAATACGCTTGATTAACTATAGTTCAACCGTAGCGGTTAATCTAACCGGTCGTATTAAAATTCAGCGTGTAGTTGTGTGCGTGCATATTGATGGAAGTGTATGTAATGAGCTGCGGGAAAATGGTTATCGCTGAAGAAAACCAAAAGTAGAATAAAAGAAAGTTATCTTTCTGTGATCGCCGAACATTCATACAAAGAAATGAGCTAACATCTGCTCCTAAGTAACAAAATCATGGTGCCCCCTCAACAATCTGAGTTTCAAGTTGTTGGAATTTAAAAAAATACAACCCATCAAATGACAGTAGCACAGGACTTCGGTAGTCCTGATTCCAGTTAAACTCAGGCACTGGGCTTCAGGAATGTTCACCAACCTCAGAACCTTGTTGCAGACAGACTGCAAATGCTTCCTTGGAGGTTAAGTGATATGATTCAATGTTTCTCTTGCCTTCCTGAGCCCATAACAACCAACTCTTTTCACGATTTCTCGTTTGCTAAACCCAGCATGATCATTTGTCTGGCATCCAGTTGAGTGGTTACAAGTATACAGCAATTGAAAACATGAATTCCCTATGAACAACGTGTTACAGACCATCGTAACAACTTATTCATTACACTCTGCTCGCCATTTCGTTAATCAATTACTTTAAGTATATTTTCGTGTACTGGGTTGGGCGGCTCGAACATCCGCGTTTATTGAAGTTGTGTGAACAGAATGAGGCCCCTGTTCTCATTTTAATGGACGTTAGATGATACATTGCAGTTGGTTGTTTCGCTCAACAGACTGCTCACTTTATAATTTCTTAGTTAGTTGGCGGATGCTATAATGCAGACGAAATGCGAATGGTTAATTACTGCGAGCATCTCTCGCGCGACAATAACATATTCGTGTCAAATGACTGTTTTTAGAATAGTGACATGGTTAGGATATCGAATTGTCGGGACCTAGACGGTGAATCTCGTACGCCAACTAGATCGGGCAGATTCAAAGAAACCTCAGGCTGCAACGTTCACACAACAACACATGCGCAGTCTCACAGAAACACCAAAAACCGTTATATTCACAAGCTTCAAACAAGACTGACGGTAATTATCTGTTACAAGGGCTTTCGACGTCTTACTATGGAAGTTCCTGTGCCGTAATACTGAAAATGAAAAGTACGAAAGATACGTTGCTAATCTGCAGATCACAGAACAAACGGTCACCTGATATAATGAAGGAGATAGCGCACATTAACGGCGGACCCTGGGATTCTAAATTCAAAGAATGGCGTAATACTCACTCACGTTTCCCTAAAGAAAAGGAAGAAGGCCTCCATTACGGAGCTGTTTATAGGAAAAAACACAAACTGAACAGTTACGGACAGGGGACCGATATTTTCACATGCACCTTGTTTACAAAACTGAATATCCATCTTCTCCTCAAACGCGTCTTCCTGGATATTCATTGAATGTTACTCAAATGCAAGCAAAGCTACATGGTGACCCTAAGAACTATGTAATAGATCCCACTTTTCTGGAGACGTGAAGTGGGTTTACGCGAAGACACTACTCACGTACCTCATCAGTAGTATCCACCGCTACACAGGTATTCAGTTAAGTTCGGTCAAATGATTCCTGACTCGTGGTGACAGACCTAACATCCGATTAAACTTACTCCTATAAGATATCACTTCATCCCTTGTGCTTTCGTTCATCGAGAAGCTGCGGCATTGTCCACCCATATGCAGCGGCAACGTTGTGGAGTGCGCTTCCATAAACCGATGGGAAAATGCCAGATAGTGCCTAATCATCTGATTTTATCATCAGAATAGAACCCACGTGACGCAAATGTGTTACCTTTATGTTTTACCTAGTCTGTAGTCAAATCCAACCTGTGGTTGAGGAAACCGAGGGCAGTCAAACAGCCATCCCGGATGAAGATTTAACTCTGAATGGGTTGCACGAAAAGTCCATATGAATCAGATTACCGATTAAGGCTGCTTGAGGACCAGTAAAAACCTACGAACCGAGTGTCTTAACACCACTCGACTGGCTCAATTTGAGTGAACCTGGATTGTAACGCTTGAAAAGAGAAAATGTGTATGATTTGGCCGGTGCCCCGGACGACTACCGGAAATGCTCTCTGTGTGTCGATTTAGTAACACAACTCTCGAGATTTTACATTGGGATAGAGCCAGTAACGCCTGAAACCTGCTGGAATTGGTTTTGCTTGATTGTAAGCGACTTCTCGTTCACCAAATCATCGCACCTTATCTGACTAAATTCCTCACCCAATTGTCATTCAGCTTCTGCTCCTACAGAAAAACTCGTGCCTCATTCAGGGAGAAAACTGTATCTTCACTTTCCACCGTCGTGTTCCTGACTGCCTTACTGGCAGAACGCCTTGTGTCTCACGGTGGGCCCTTCATGACATACCAACGTTATATCAGCTGCTTTTGCGCGACTGATACGGTATCAAGAAAGACACCATTTAATGTGCCAAACCTTTTTCTAACCGGAGAATTAAGCAGGCTGCGCAACACTTGAAAAGATAACACCGATTAGCTCAGTAAGCTGCAAATCATAACCATCACAACGCAGCGTATTTACAAGGACATATGAGCACGTCAGTCAGTCTCTGTGATTTCCAATGCATCCAAAAACTAAAGGCTGTTACTGTGCTGCCTAAGCTACAGTCCCAAGCGGCGACGTTTCAGGATAAGTTTTATACCTCCATTGGTTCTGAGAGGCTTTAATGTCGGGACTGTTTGGATAGTTTTGTAGCCTAAGGTTATGAATGTGCCCACAGAATTATAAGTTACAACAAACGGAGCAGCTCCTAAAAGTGAAAAATGTGTAGGTTGGCAGAGTGTGGCTAACAAACAGGAGGACCAAACTGGTTGGTTTAAATTTTGTCTCAAAGTAAATGTGTGAATTTTAGAAACGACACAAAATAGCCGCAATTAATTGTCAAGCTATGAAGAGGGTCTCTTGTCGTGCGTTCTGGCATTAGGGAGTATAAATCATACAGAACAAAAACCAAGACCACATGGAATCAGTCTTTCCCATCTGTACAGATAACTACATCTAGTAGGGATGACCTCTGTCGAAATGCATCGAAAATTATTCTTTTAAAACCTCGAAATTTAACCTTTCGTGTGTAGAGGATCAAAACATATCAGGATATTTAATTCGTACGGTTATAGGCGGCAGTGTTGCGCGACTTTGCCCCAACATCATTCGGACTTTTGACTCTGCACTTTAATCGAATGAAATGAAGGATTTACAGTGGTATCTTTACTCAGTTCGGTTTGCGAGCAACAGATAGTTGCGCCGCGCTCCCTGAACCGAATACAACACTCATGGTTCTCAATTATCAGATTGAAATTCTTCGTGGGATTTCTCCCGCAAACCGGCAACGAGGAAGCCAATCCTGGACACGACAGCATGGGGATACGGTTCCACGGAAAGTTTCACGGACCGGGCCTAACATACTAGGTACCATGCGACAACCACGCTAGAAGACTTCGAGTGTGTTTGCTATTCACCTGGCTATCACATAATACTACCGTTTTTAACATTATTGTGGAGCATTTTTGTTGGATATTTATCCCTCTGGCTCATTGAATTCACCTGATACTTGAAAACAACCCTCCAATGTATTCCGTGAAATATCTCCTATGGAACGGAATCTCTTGGCTCCCTTACTGCTTGGTACAACATATCATTTTAGTGTAGAGAATTGAACCAAGGTTTGTTAAAAACCAAAATCCACTAGCTGATTGGATGTTATTGAGTTACTCAAGAGCACTGCATTGTTCAGAGTAGATATATCTAGAAAATATTCCTGATAATATAAAATAAAATTGTTTGGTTCCCTTTCTTCACAAAATGCAGAATAGATCAGCTGACAGGTTCACCGACCAAACGCAACGTGGACAATTCACCTATCGGACTAAATGGCTTCGATTTCCGTAAAAATGGAAAGCCATTCTTCCGTCCCAGTAACCGAAAGGATACTCTCACATATTTTGGCGCTCTAAATTAAATAAATGTTCGTTTTTTTCAATTGTAAGAGACAGACAGGAAAAGCTTGACTGCAAAATAAAGAAGTTTGATAACTACGCGTGCCGTAATTTCTCAGCTAAGAAATTAACCAGTAACTCAACGGAATTTCCTCTGATGAAACGGGAGCAAATGAGTATTTTAAGAGATACGTTATGAGCTGTTAAGTTGTTGGCAACGATTTTTCTCGATTTCGTTTTTAGACGGAAGCTCGCAAGATATTGAGTGAGTGAATTTTCAGTGTTCCAATGCCCGTTCTTTCAAAAAATGTTGGTTACCTTCAATTAGGGTCGCTTTTTCTGGTATGGAGCAACAAAAAGTTATCAGATTGTCTGACTTTGGTAACAGATAGTACAAGAAATGAAGAATCCATATTCGGTTGCGCGAAGAATGGACCGACTTGGACGTTTACTTTTCACCAGATTTACCAAAAGAACCGCTTTCCATAATAGCGGCACCTGAACCGCAGCTCAAAGCCGGCTAGAGATTTCTCCTCTTGGTTTAGATTGTATTCCCTTAGTAACGTTTACAAAATTTGTAGGTCAGATTGTGAGCGGTAATTCGTTCCGGGCGAATTGGTTTCGGTGTTCGGATGGCTACGTGGAACTTGTTTGGTCTGGCTTTATTCTTTAGTCCTAGGTTAGTTCTTTTGAAGGATTCACTGGTTCCTCCAGACCGATTCGGGCCATCTAAGACGCTTCAAAAAACGTTTTGCGTCTTCATTTTTTCAATCCTACTCGTAACGTGAGACATGGAGATTCCTACCGTTTTGGTCAGATATCAGGTATTGTGGGAAAAACTTCGCGAAGTTTTCGGCACCTGCTTTTTGCCCAGCGAAGAGTGTATTCCCGACTCTCGCCTCTTATTCACTTGCATCCATTCGTTGTTTGTTTCTGATCTCAGTATTACCACTAATTTCAGCACATTAAGTTGCCTGGAAACATCACAAACGCGAGACTCAGCTGAGCTCCAGGTGAGTCTCTCGCAAAACCAAATTTGTTTACAATTGAGTGTATTTCATCAATTCCTGTTGTTTTTCTTTCGCACAGATATCTGCGCGACATCACCCCGTTTTCTAACCAACTTGATGGCGAGTATCCAAGCGCACCAATACCAAGTGTACTTTCTCCTTATGGAAGGTCACTCGGATTTTAGCAAGGGTGTGCTCTTTTACAATCTCATGTCGGTTGGGCCAGTTGGTCGAGTTTGTTTGAAAATCCAGGTGATTATTTTCTCCAACTCATGGTCTGCGGGGACATAATGAACTCTGTTTAGTGGACCTGTTGTTTTAAGTCTACTGACGGAGTGCAAGTTTTCGGTTCGTAAAAGCCAACTCGTTGATTACATACTATTAAGGACATCCGTCTCATATGGCCAGTGTGCTGAAACAGTTGCTAATAGTTCTGAGTGAGAATAGCGGGGTGGTTATTTGTTTCCATCCGACATACGAATCAGCGACCGGACACAGACAGGCGGCAATTGCGAAGATTCTTCTAAATAATGCAGCCCGGATTCCTTACCGGCAGCAAAAATCTAAGAGAATTCGTTGTGTACTCTCCATTGTCAACAAATGCGTCACTTTCCAGATGGACAACACACTGTGAAACAAAGCGTTTGTACCGTTAACAGCTGACCGCTCCAACTGCGTCCGCAAGACTGAGTGATTTGAGCCAACGAGCATGAAATTAAGGCATCCCAGTGGTATCCTCGAGTGGTTTCAAGATAATCAAACAAGTTAAAGAAACCGTGTCTCAACGTTTTGTTGCTTTCTACGCATAAACTTCGTGTTGATTTTGTAGCCTACAGTTACCAGATGACAGTGAACAAACCACTGGAAGTCTGGGCGCTTCCTGATTGCAAAGGACAATTCTTTTAAAGCCGACCTTTGTGCCACGCGCAAATCTTTGGGTTGCAAATTAACCTAAGGGAATCCAATCGACGGACGAGGGTGTAGACTAAATTCGCAAGTTATCAGCCCATTTAAAAAAAAATTAGCTGGCAAATAGTGTACACCAGTCACCTGTTCGCCAATGAGCTATCGGCGTCATCCGTCAGATCCTTTTCACTCCAGTGTAATACTAGACCTCCATTATACAGT